ATGCAAATAACTGTTGAGGGCTTCTATCTAATGTTAAGTTCACAATATTATATTGTGTTCATTAAAAACGTGTAAAACGTTCTACAATGAGGGAATATTGTATTATGATATTCTACTTTTTGCCTACAATGCCAATAATTACCAGTCTAACTTTAGATGCTTATACGCATTATACTCATTTTGAATGTAAGTTACCGTTGCGGAGGTTTCAAAAATATTTTCTGATTATTTACTGATAAAATGCTGCCCATTTTTTCAAAAGAATATATATGTTTAATGTTTTAATTGCTTACATGGTACTTTTTAAAGAACAAATTACATTTTTTTTTTGGGGTGGGGTTGGATTTTTTCTTTTTCTTTTGACTGAAACATTATCATCATTGACTGACTGACTGACTTTTACTGACTTTATTTGGAACTCATACAAAAATATACAGCAATACAATACAAAAATACGAGAAACGAGAATTCCGAGGATAACACACACACACACACACCCACACCCACAAACTTATTTCGATTGTGGACCTCACACAAAACATTTGGCAAGACAATAAGAATAATTCGCAACATGATAAAAATTATAATTACTGGTCTTCTATAAATTATTAAATTTACTGTACGCCTAACAATTTGTTTAAAATAATAGAAGTTTTCTGAGTGACAGTTGAAAGTTTGTTTCATTGAGTAGCCCTGTGATGTTAAAAGTGCTCTTACCGATGTCTCATTCTATTAAACGTAATATTTAATTTATTTCATATTTATGTCATTTATTACGCCAGTGTCAGTACAGAACCTAAGGTATCTTGTGTCTTGCATTATAGTTTTCATCTGGTTTTACATTTTGCATGCGTAACCATTATGTTACAGAATGTTGTTAATGATGACAGGAATTGTGATAATGTTAGGTACGTTATTTCGCACATCGACACGTAATGACCCAGCACGCAAACTACCATAGTTCTTTGTCATTTTGTCACAATTGGGTAACCCGGTCCCTTACTGTCCTTTGCAATGGGTGTGCTTTACACAGACCTGTCCTTGTGTGTCCCCAAATGAACTCGCACACGCAGACAAAAACAAATACTGCCTGTTGAGATGTAGTTAGTCGAAGAGCTTTAGGCCTAAGGCGGATATTTGATGAGAGCCCCTCTCGCGATACGTTGTTTGGGGTAGCCCATTTGATAGTCATTCAAATTGTGGATGACAGGTCCAAGGGTCGTTAGTACATTTCGCCAGTGTCATTTTTGGCAGAGGCACCTTGCCTGACCTTAAACTTATAAGGGAAGGTAGAGCAGAATAAGAAACGTGTTGAACGGTATCTTCAAAGCAGGTGTGCCTGAATACACTTTGTCAGAAATAAAGTTTCAGCAAGTAAGACAGCAAGGCTTATCAAGTACAAGATGTTGTCCTATAAAAATGGTGTTCGTTTACACTGTATAAATAGTTTAAACGCATCAGTTCCATGCTCTACCTGTATATACAATTTAACTAATGGATTCGTGTTGATGGAAACCCGAAAGGTAGAATCGGATATTTTAGGCCTAGTCAGAATGTGTTGACGAAATGTATAGGGTTAAAAAAACGCCTTATACATACACAGGTCAGCCACTGATAATTTTATTTATCATTGTTTATTATTAATATTATTATTATTATTATTATTATTATTATTATTATTATTATTATTATTATTATTAATTATTATTATTATTGTCATTATCATTATTATTTTAAAACGTAAAATATTGTATTATTATGATTGTTGTTACTTTATCATAAGTAATATAATAATTAGTATTATCATTATAATTAATATTTAATAATATTATTACCATAATCATATTTATGATTTTAACTGTAGTTATTTCATTACTATGATTATGATTGTTATTACATATTATAATATTGTATTTTTTGTATTTTTGTTTATTATGTTTTTACATTTTTTGTATTTTTTAACCATATTTTTAGAGGGTACCCTTCCAGCATATCCAAAGTCGGCTGATATTCAGAGACCCTCTTAAATAAATGAAAATAGCGTGATGCTTTATCAGCGAAATCTTTATTAAGCTTAGGGAGTGGAGTTGTTTTATGAGAAAAGTCCTGCTGTCACAAGAATTGAACCCAGGACCCTGGGAGTAGAAGGCAGACATCTTAACCACTAAGCTATTCAACTCCGCTCCTTAATAAATTGTTGACATTACCATCTTTAGGGCCTACTATCTCATCTAAACAAATGTCATCATCACCAACATGATAATCACCATTGGTTTCATCCTTCGAAGCTACATTTACACACTTACTAGTCACGATTACGACACGACAACGACACGATACAGATGCGCGCAGTGTTGAAGAATACAAACTACGCGATGATATGTCGTTGTCGTGTCTAGAGTGTCATATAAACTGAGTCAGAAGGCCCAGTACCGTTACTGACCGGAAGCTTAATATCAACCCCCTTGACTTTCTCATTAACGCAGAATGCACGGTGTCAAAGAACTATCCCGTTACAAATAAGTGTTGAATGATGATTCCACAAGATTGTCTATTTCTCTATATATTATCAATCTATCGACTGAAGGATTCGGTAAATTGACAGGAGATCCCAAGACATCGCGCTACCTCCGGAACGATTAGTCAATAAAAGATTGTAGTAAGCCTAGCCCTTTGGTACAACTAAGAAAGTAAAATGAGAGATAGACCTAAGTTGGTTCTATATGGTACATTTATATGCGAAACACAATATATTATTATAAGCATATTTGTGTTATTGTTTTAAGAAAATGAGCGTATCCACTTTAGTTTCGATCAGGCATTAATGAGACTATAATTTTTTTGCTTAGTTTTCTCTTTAAAAGTAATGCATGTAGGCCTTTTGGTACGGCTGTATACCGACAAATTCGCTTTATCTAGTTAATGATTATTTTTAATTCATAATTATGTTTCCCAAATACATTTATCAGTTTCCGTCATGTCTCCAGTTTGTAGTTCATATCGATCAGTAACATGCAACTGTTAAAGAACAAAATGGTTAAATAGCGCCACCTGTTGTCTACATCCTGGCCGTTTTTGACTGATAGTGCATCAGCCTTTTGCCCGGGTGGAATATAAACGTATTCAACGAAGGCTGTGGTTTCCGAACTGTCGGACAAATAATCTATTCGAACAGTAATAATATATTGTTTTTGATTGATGGTGACTTAGAACATTGCAAGATGGCTAAGAGGGGCGAATTATCTCCGATTTGTCATATCTAACAAGGCAGACGGACTCGCCCGTGTCCCGTGCTTGCTGGAGATAAAAATTATAAAAAGACAACGTAATAGAGAACGTAACGAAGGCGCATTATTTTGCATCCGCTGTGACGAGCGCACGTAGACAACATTACAGCGAATTATCTTTTCGAATCGATTTAAATAATAATTTGGTAGCGTCGTGATTTGTGGTATTTTTAAAAGCAGTTTATTGATAATTTGGTCGGACGTTTTGAGGTTTTTCAGTACCTAGTATAAATGACACATTATGGCAATCACCGGTAGATATACTAGTGTTACTGTTGTATCTAATTATGTTTATTCAAGCTATTAGATGTCGAGGATGAAAAAGGTCATATCACCAAAGCTAGAGGAATGTTAATAATAAAAACGATACTATTTAGGTCAATATTAATTAGGGCCACCGTTAATAGGCGTAATAAAATAAAAAAATAATAAATATAACGACACTGCAGAACAAGCGTAATAAAACAGAAGAAATGTAACGCGGAATGTAATGTAGTTTTACGTTGCACCCCCACCCCACCGCCTTCCACCCTTCATGGTTACCGGTTATTACGTATCAATAATTTCATCATGACATTAATAACATAATACCGTATTATATAATAAAATGAACAATAAAGGTATAATAAAATTGATAAAGAATATTAATTATTAATGAAAATATTGAACAAATTTATTATTAGAGTTTTTGATTAATTATATTCTAATGTCATACTAATTATGATTTTCTGTAAAAGTGACCATTGTCCTTTTTTGGATTATATATTATTAACGTAAACCGAAACACTGTAGGCCAATGAAATATATTTCTTTGAGTCTACCAATCACTCTAACAGATTATGATTTTTCCTTTGAAATTGATCTGCATTTATAAAACGAGCCTACAGCGCACGTGCCTCGAATGTACGCCTACGATGAAGCATAATTTACAAATTATGTATCAGGTTTTCTCGAATGAAACCTTCACCCCAATTCTAAATATACATGCAATTTGCACGGGATATTCTAAAGCGACTCCTATTACTAATACCGGTACTTGCTTACAACACGTCATATACACACACAAAACCAGCACAGTCTAGTCCTGTGTCGCCCTCGTTAGGAGTCGCACAAAACGGGGATTTTCAAGTTTCCGTCCACCGTTCAGTGAGAAGGAACAAACGAAGAGGAGGAGGAGTTACCACCACTACTACAGTGTTTACGCAACCTGATCAAATCTATCTCACTCTAAATTCAATCCTCTGTCGAATAGGACGCGTGTGCCGTGACCAACGCTGCGTTAGTTCACCCACGCGCAAGCATTATCTCGCTCCACTGATTTATATCACTCATCTACTTTTAACTTCGACTTTGCAATTTATGGTTGTTTTTATTTTTTATTTATTTTTTGTTGACTGAGCTCAGGAAGTTTTACTCGTTGATATTCATTGAATGATATCCGATATTGCACAAGTCATGTGAACCCACTATTAGGATTTAAATTAGCGATATCGTCTGCGTCGGCACTATTCAGTTTTCTTGCCAAATACCTAATGTTTGTAAACATTTACTGTTGAACAAAATATGGATCTTAAGAATCGAGAGATATGAATGTGGATTTAATTTTTTCTTGATATTTCTGCAAATACTAACTTAAATTTATATCAAGATGAATCTTGGAAATTACCGATGTGGATTATGTAATCGAAAATGTATTGACAGGAGGTAAATTTCTATATATTTTATTTTTATTTATAAACTATACATAGTAGAGTAGAATAGTGGGACCTGCTGCTGATACCGTAGTGCAGTAGTACTAATACATCATTATTACATTTTAGAAACATTTTAGGTCTACTACTACTAGTACTACTACTACATGTGACTCATACTACTATCAGTTTCGAGGGATTCCTTACCCACAGTGGATTCAGTCTCCCCAGTGGGTAAGCCTAACGTTCTGAATTCGGCACTCTGCAGACCGAATACCCTAAGGGTGGGATGGTCGGAGTTTCTATTGAATTACCTCCAGCGGTCTTTGCCCGAAAAAGTGTAAGTTATAATAGCCTATTAACAGACAAGGCCTCCGTGTACGGTACGTATGCCAATTGTGAAATGTTGTATTCTAGATTATTCGTTTGTTGTACAGAATTGCCAAGTACTGTACTCTTATATTATTTCTTATTTGTGCATTGTCATCTATAATTTTTTTACCACCTCTCTGACCCGAGATATACAATTCATGTCAAATGACCCTCAATAAACTTCAACATGTGATGCAACGAGTTTCTATGGCCTGACTTGCAGGTTTCAGTAATCTTGGTGAATCTGCAAAAATTCCAACAACGATTAAATGACGATAGAGTGGAAATAAAATTGTAATTTGTACGCGCCAAAAATGTCAAGGGACTGGGCAAACCGAACACATCCATCATATAATATAATTAGTGGAATAATTTCGATGTGGCTAGAAGGTTAATGAATTAGAAAAACGGCCTATTCTTGTGAAGTTAGCGCTGGTTGTGTAAACGGCGACAGCTGCTTGATGGAACCTGCTTACACTCAACCTTTTGGATTTTCACGGAGAATTTCACAAATCCCTGGAAATCAAAGAAAAATAATAGAGTAATAAAAGTAATTGTTTGAGGATTCGGATAAGATTATTATTCATAATTCTGACTGGTGCACATGCAGTGGCCTACTGAGGCTGTGATATTATTTCTTGTGGCTGATTTGTGTATCAAAATTGTATTTTTCGGTGACTTTTTTTGAAAATAATCCGTTGCTCTTGTCGCACCTCTCTCCATTCTTTCTGTCAATACCGTCATGCTGTTCGACAAACTGATTTCATAACCAATATTGTACAACGAATAATTCTTTTTTTGTATAGGTCTAGATTTTGCTGATACTTTATTTATTGAGAGAAATAACATATTGTTTTATTGGCTTCAAAATAATAAAAGACCATTGTGTGTAGTAAAAATGTGGGGAAAAAATAACTAGTAAATAAATATCATTATATTGCTCATTTTATAATAATATCAAAAGTTACAGTTTTCCAATATTAGACTCAGTCGGCTATAATTGTGGCCACGGCCGTATGTGCGCTAAATCGTAGAGATCTTTGGTACCGTACCCGGTTCAATTGCGTTTCATCTAGCGACTAGCGTGTTAAAATGGAAGTACAGTGCACCCTCAAATTCGTGACCCCTCTAATTCCGAGACCCCTCTAATCACCCAAAATTGTCAGGTCCCAAAGGTGGGACCGAAGGGTATTAAAAAAAACCTTGGTGTTCACACCGCATAAATCCAATCCACAGACCAAAACAATTCAGTTTTTGCTGATTGAAGTATTTTTTATTGGATTTTTTTTAACTGATTGTCAGTCAATTTAAGTACTTATTCAATTAATATTATAATGGCAGTGTTATTTATAAACTATTAATTGGAAACGGTAGATTTATTTATGAGCAAGTATTTCTTTTTTTAAATTTTTTGTAGAAATCTAGTCCATAAAAAAGAGAGCAATTAGAACATTAAATTTACTGCTCAAGGTTATTAGCTCAAAACACAGTATAGGCCTATCTTTAGAGAAAATCTTAATCAATTGTAATTACCTCTTCCCTACCCATACCTCTCTCCATTTTCCTAAGCTTGTAAAATTTGGCCTCACTTCGGACGAATTACCAACATTACAACCATCGAACGTGTATAATCGTATGTAGATTTCACAAACATTTTCAGTTTAAATTAATGATTTGCTCCAACGTATGCCTAAGTATGTATGACAGTTTGTTTTAAGTACGGTTATGATTAAAGATCGACGTACACAAATGCTTAATTCGTTCTTCTCATGTCAATAACCGCGGGAACAGTTTAATATCCCATCATCGTAGGTAATCGGTTGTCTAAATCGCGGTTACGCATGTTCCGCTATGGTGTGTCTAACACCGAACCGAATCGGCTTGATACTCAACAATATCGGAAGTACTACTAACAATTTGTAATTAGTAGTGTCTGTGAGAGAGTTGTGTTCTCGGTAAAATATTTTGCAACATACGATATTTATTTCCATTTTGGCAAAGTTAATTACTAGTGTACTTACCAATTAATTTATTATTGAGTTAAAAAAATATTAACAACAAATAAATATATAGGCCTATATTTTTAATTACAACTTTAAAAACGATCTAGTTTTAGTGACTAAACCTAGATCCTTTTTTAAGTTTTTACAGGTTTGCAATACTCAGCATTTGTTTACTAAATTTGAGCCCGATTTTTCCAGTAAGAGCCCCTGCCTGGGTCTAGGTACCAGATGTTGGAGATCAAAGTCAATGACTAACGATAAATATTGTTACTGGTACCAACGTAATAATAGTACTGCGTATGTGTGAAATACTGAAATGTGAGAGTTTGTTGTATTAATGATGACAAAATACTATTTTAACTCAAAAAAAAAAAGATTTTACAAAAAAGCTTTCTCATAATATACCGTAGGTTATATCAACAATCGATGTTTATTTACACGAAATTCCTCCTTATTAACTCTAAAATTAAATTGTATTAATGATGACAAAATACTATTTTAACTAAAAAAAAAAAAGATTTTACAAAAAAGCTTTCTCATAATATACCGTAGGTTATATCAACAATCGATGTTTATTTACACGAAATTCCTCCTTATTAACCCTAAAATTAAATTTACTCTGCATTCTATACCTTCTCAGGAAATAGTTTACTTTCCGGTTGTAATCACTTCAATCATATCCATATCGTACTTCTTCATATTTGGTAAATTCATCTTAAATTTTAGATTTTCTTAGTACTTGGCCTATGATCTAAATGGAATCAATTCAATTTTAAAATTAGGTCACGTTAATGTGTGTTCCAGAGGCAAATTTTTTAATCAAAAATTACGTTTACAATTAACAGGATTTTAATAACTTCCTGGGGTCGATGGTGAAAAAACGAACGAACGTTGAAATGTTGGTCTACAATCACAAGTTGTACTATGAATATTATTTAAATTACACAGTGTTGAAACAAAACGATCATAGAATGGAATGACTGAGAAAAGTATATTAAAAATCAATCAACCAATCTTTTCATAGTGTTTAACTTAGCGAAACACTAACTTTCCATAAGTTGAAAGTTTAACACATATTTTCATTTTGGTATTTTCACCATAGCCTAGGCAGCTAATTCAATAACTTAATTCTGCTTATCTCAACACACATGAAAAGAGTTTAACTCATTATAAGGTTCTCTGAACTCATGTCAAATTAATAATAATAGGCATATTTTAATTCTGCATCTCTCTGAAAGTTCCTTTTCTTTACAGAGACAATAAATATATCTTGTATATTGTCAGATTTGTTTTTCGGATCTTTCAAAAGAATAAGTTTCTCTGAATCTGCTATCAAGCAAGTAAAATTATCTAAATCTCTCCGCAAGTTTCTTTTCTTTAAAAAGACAATAAATAGACCTATATCGTAACTTGTGGGCCCATATAGGCTATCATATTATTTTTTCCTCGGATCTTTTAGATAATCACATAAAGAAACAAATATAGGAAAATTGTTATATTATTGTATACGGAAACCCGTCCCTATAATAGACGGGTGTGGTCATTGACGATAAATGTGCTTTAAGTTTAAGTTCATTCAACTTTGTTCCAGCAAATATAAAATTGCTGACTTTTCTCATTTTGAAAGTGACCTTATTTACGTGATCTTAGTTGCTTGGTTCTAACAACATTTGAGTAACCGTTATTTCCAATAAAAATAAGAAAAACAACACCTGCGGCCCCACAAGCAGATCTGTTTGAATACGCCCCTTAACAATTTGCTATCCAATCCTAACATCTATCCGACTCCACCAATCTTTTACTCCTGAAAAATTGGCCGGACACTTGGTGGCGTTTTAGGTCTTACCCTATGTCCAACCCGTTGGACCCCCGTCGACAAATTTCTGAAACCGTGTCACTGATAACAGACTCTGATAACAGATGAGTAGGCCTCTGTGGTATGTTGATGTTTGATCTAATAACCAAGGTACGGTAATAACAAGAAGTGCATTTAATTGAAAAGTTGAATTTAGAAAATATTTCTACAGCAATTAAGGTTACAAAAAATTGGCTGATAATCAATTTTATAATTTGTGTAAAAATGTTTGCAAATTATTAAAAGCGATGGCAATTTTTGTTTTCGTTCTCTACCTTATTTTATTCTTTTAATTAAATATAATGATTGAATATCTAAGGGTTTTTAAAGATTTTATAATAGACAGAAGGAAGTTATATTTACTGTACGGTACCGTACACGTTTAAAAAATATTATATCACCGATTTTCTGTCCGACTGACAACACTAAACATATCACCAACGTTTTACAATTTTTACAACACCTGTGTTAGTTACTTGTACAATTTTTACAACACCTGTGTTAGTTACCTCTAGTATTTGTTTGATGTGTGCGTGGCTTGTTATAGCTTTGCACATCCCTCCGGACTCCTTAGCGGTTAAGACATTTTCTTTTTCAATAAATCATTCCTTCCTCCTGTATTAAGTCTCGTATTTCTTGCAAAATTGTTAGGAATATAACTTTGTATGGGTTAAGGTTAATACTACTACTATCTACACCCCCTTTTCATGCACACTGCCGGTGCTCGCGCTGATAAGGGACTGAAGTATCGATATTTGGTATATTATTCCCTGAAAGGTGAGTAGATATTCTTAATCCTATGTAGGCGTATGCTTAATACAGAGCATCTGAATTTCCTGATTCGTAAGAAATACTGTTGAACTTTTGATACAAAAGACTATGTTGAAATTGATCGAAGCATCTGTATTTGGTGTATTATTCCCTCATAGATATTCCTAATCCTCTGTAGGCGTAGAACTATGCAGTGAATTTCCTGATTCGTAAGAGATTCCGTTAAACCTTTAATACAGAAGACTAAGTAAAAAGTGACTGAAGAGTCTGCATCTGGTATATCATTCCCTCTTACAGGTGTCTTAAATATTCCTAATCCTACATATAGGCGTAGGACTAACACATCTAAAATTCCTGAATTTGTTGATCTTTTGATAGAAAAGACTAGGTAATTACAAGTGAGGGAAATATCGATGAAGTGTCTATATATTTATCTATACAATTTATCTATACAAGTTTTTTTTTTTTTTATATTTACGATTCAATAACTCGATTCAATAACATCTGTCTCTTATACACATCTAGATGTGTATAAGAGACAGTTGGTATATTATTCCCTGAAAGGTGAGTAGATATTCTTAATCCTATGTAGGCGTATGCTTAATACAGAGCATCTGAATTTCCTGATTCGTAAGAAATACTGTTGAACTTTTGATACAAAAGACTATGTTGAAATTGATCGAAGCATCTGTATTTGGTGTATTATTCCCTCATAGATATTCCTAATCCTCTGTAGGCGTAGAACTATGCAGTGAATTTCCTGATTCGTAAGAGATTCCGTTAAACCTTTAATACAGAAGACTAAGTAAAAAGTGACTGAAGAGTCTGCATCTGGTATATCATTCCCTCTTACAGGTGTCTTAAATATTCCTAATCCTACATATAGG